AAAAAAAAAAAAAGAAAGTAGAAATTTATTTCCTAAAAGCAAAACTCTGGAGAAGTCTCAATCTGCCATATCAATCTCAATAAATCCATAACCTCCTCTGAGTTCAAGAAAAAAGACTTGAATCTTTAATGTTTATTCACATATTTTTGTGATGTCCTGGGTTCAGTAAAGCCCTAATATAAAGGTGAAGATGTCTCCTTATAATGTTCTATATAAAAGATTGAAAAAGAAGTGTTACCAGTAAGAAATACATTATTTATTATATAATTAAGGGCAAGATAGCACCAGGGCTAAATAAAAACTTTATGTACTTACAGCAATTTCCAGGCTCAGGCACACGCACAAAATAATTACTCTTTAATGTATTATTTATTAACTCTAAATACACAGTTATCTTATTTCTTAAAGCTCTTCTGAAGTTTTAAACCAGTACTACATAATGAAATAGCTACATGATAAATTATAAATTATGTGTCACAGCAGAGCCACAATGATAAAGATGGTGCAATTAAATAGTGAAAGCTTATAAAAAAAAATTGCTGAGTTTCAGAGTAACTGCATCCTAGAAGCATGGAGGGATTCACCTTGTCAGAACAGGCAACGCCTTAAGGAAGGAAAGACTCCACTTGAGTGACAGAATCTTAGCCCTGCCTTTAGATAGAGGTTATACTTTCAAATGAGAACCACCTTTAAAAATGCAAATACATTTACATGTTAAAATGTAAGCTGAACCTAAAACTGTCATCTACAAGGTCGAGGTCCTGGGTTCAATACTCAGCACCACAAAAATAAAAATAAAAATAAAGCTTCTCTGAAAAAAAATTATTAATTTAAAAAATGTTAAGCTATAGAGCGATTCCTTAGCATGCTCAAGGGCCTACCTTTAATCCTTAGCATCAAAAAATGTACCTCTTAGAAATACAAACTCGAAGAAACTGATTATAGTTCAAGCAAACTGCCATAAACTTCTTCATCAGAAATTAGCAAGTAGTAACCTAAAAGGTCTCTAAAAGAATAGAGCACAGAAGAGTTACACAGAAGTTGGCAGAAAAAGTGCAGAGCTCTTGGGAAGGGTAGGAGAGCAGAGTGGCAAGTGTTCTGCACCCAACAACAGCCTCTATGCTGTTCTACTGGAGCTTACTATGAAACAGAAATAGCATTTAACTCTTCACAGGCATTGTCTCATTTAATACTCAAGACACCTAATCAATATGGAATGTACTATCACTATTTTGATATCACTATGTGACATCACTATTTTGATGAGTAAACATCTGAGGCTTTAAGAAGAGTAACTTCAAAGAATCCCAGAGCTAGTGAGCAGCAAAACAGTATATAGACAGGTCCCTCAACTCTGAAACCCATAATCTCTCCCCTGCAGGCCACCAATGACTAATGGTTATAGTGCATTAGGACTTATTTACTTCTTGGTGTTATTTAATAACTGGCATTAAACAACAGTGATCAAGGCATTTGACTGGTGGGTTTATGGGGGCAAGCAGGTGGCTCCAATAAAGCCTGGCAAATATAATGTTAAGCCCATTAGACAATGTGTAGGTGAATACCCTACACTGCTGATTAAGAAGGAAAGCATGACTCGTCCTCATCTCTGTGAAGTCAGGCTCACTACTCCCCAGAAACACCCAGAGGAACTAATTGCAGAGCCCATGCCAAATGTTGCTCTAGACAACAGTAGCCTTCCCCTTAGAGTACAACCCCAGCTATACTTTTTATTATTATTCTTAATGTCATTTCACTTAGGTCTTATGAGATCCAGTTTAAAACATGTTTATTAATTGCCCAATCCTCAGAAAAGCCAAAAAGAATAGTTCATTTCCCCCTCAATCCTCTCATTCTATTTTTAAAAATAAATTTTAAATTATTTCCCCCAAAGCTCTCAAGATTTTTATATTCACCCTTTCAAATGAATGAGAGCAGCATCCAGTTAACATCATAAAACAAGGTTCTGTTTTGTTTTTTCTGCCCATGGTATTTTTGTCACCTACAGACTAGGTTCCTATACACTTCCTCCCCACCGCACCCCTTCTCCATTTCAGAGTGGCACAATCAATGAACCATTATGGACACATCATTAGCTACCAAAGCCCCAACTATTACTCTTCATACCTTAATTCCTACAAGTCCCTAAATGACAGTTACAGACTGCTCTGTGACATTAAAAGCACATAATGGGTCACATCTGTCTCTAGGTCCCTACCCCATGGGCCATTATCTTAGCTGGGAATAGCAAGTATGCACCAAGACCTAGCTCAAGGTCCATTCCTTTTGGAAAGAATGTTCTGCCTTAGCAAACACACGGTGCTCTTGGCCATCTCTGAACATCTTTCTACAGAGATGGTCTAATGATTTATGCCACACAGCAGAGCATTGTCCCCAGGGGGACCACTTCCAAGCAGATTAGACTTCTTTGTGAGTGTTAATTCTGGAATGATTACTACACTTCAATTATACAAGTTTGCTAAGCATCAGTTAGCTTTATAGTTATTTCACATTAACTGTTAATGCTACACCGCAAATGTATCTTTTTGCTTCTAGGGTACTAAACCTAGCTCTTCCAGTTCCACACAGACTAACTAGCTGGCTGAAATTCTGTGATTTCTTTTCCCCCCTTTAGAAACATTGAACATATAATAAATCACAAACTGAACTACCCTTTGCAAGCTGCAGGGTTGAGAAAGACAGTTGCCTTCTTCACTTGCGCATTGGGAGGAATTAATTGATTGCCAAACTCCTGAAAAGGAAAAAAGAAAAGTTTTCAGTAAATGTCCTTTTATTCAGCTAGTGATCACATATATTTTTTCATTCCAAAAAGAATTTACTTCTATCAGACATGTGATATACTCTGGAGAAAACAAATATTTATTCACAATCTCATATTGACAAAACCCATAAAGAACAACAACAAAAAAGAAAACAAACAAACAAACAAAAAACCCTGTAACATTAATGACAAAAAAAAAAAAATCCTGCTTCACCTACTAGAGGTAGCTTTTCTCCATAAAATATGCCTAAAATTATTATAAACATAACAAGTAAGGCCACAGGCTATCAAGAGAGAAGTTCAACCCATGTGTCTTTAGTTTCAGAATACCATCTTTTTCTCTTTCCGTTTGGTACTAAAACTTATTCATGAGAAATCTTTGGGTTGCCAGTTAATCTTCATAGCTTCATACATATTGAAATTAAACCTAATAGTCTATGTGCCTCCTCTTCTTTGCAACCCTGTATAATAACTAAAATAGCAGCAACTGGCATGGGACAAGAAATGTAAATCGTAATTTACTAAGCACCTAGCATTTGCCACCCTCACATATATTATTCTTAGTTCTGAGAAACCAAGGAGATTTAATGCAATTTCAGTTTTATAGACTAGAAAGCCAAGATTACAACAGATTAAGTTACTCAAAGTCACAGAGTTACTGAATTACAAGTCTAGAATTCACATTTATCTAGCTCTAAAACCCCAAGTTCTGCTTTATGAACAATAAGGCTATAGTAGAATTAAGAGGTAAAAAACTAGATGTGAGGATTTTAAAATGGGAACTAAGTGAGAGCTACTGCTACAATGTCTGGACTGGAGAAGACAGTTGACAAAATGAGAATTGGAAAGCACAAAAAGGAAACAAATTAGTTCTTGGGTGGTGGGGAACAAATCTGGGTTAAGGGGTCAGAAGTCTAGTGTAGAAGTACAAAGTAAAGACTAGAGAAGAAAGAAAGTTATACAAAGATCTTTTATTAAGTAACTCACTCTAAATTTACCCTACTGACAGTCCACTAGAAGTCCTCACCCGTATTTCTTACTAAAAACAAAAACAAACAAACAAACAAGATTCCTTCTTTTTTCTTAAACACTTTCTCTGTTTAAAAAAAAAAGTTTCTGCTATATTTTCATTTCTTTCACTCTTACTTAGACCTTAATATTTTACTGCCAAATCTCTAAATACTGTAATACTTTCTTTTTCTACCCATATTCATCTAAAGTGTGATCAAAAATAATTTTATTAACCCAGTTCTCTGGCCTGCCCACTTCGAAATCTACAGTCCTAGATTAGTCCTTCTTGTCCTGGTTTCCTCTCTGGAATGCTTATTCACTTGCAACTTCAGTCTCAGATTCACAGTGTATTAAGGAGTTTATGTGAGATAACATTGAGTTGAGTTTATGTGAGATTTTTTTTTAAATCATTCTTTCAAGAATTTAATCTGAAAAAAGGACATGGAAGAAGTAATTATAGAAGACTATAAGGATGAATCCACTTCCATTTTGTCAGGTGGCAGGAGCTAACCATGTGCTGGAGAAGGGGACAATCAGAATGGTAAAGAGAGGTCAGTATGTGAGAGGGAGGAAATTAAAGGAACACTGTCCCTGAAAAATTGAGGAGCTGGAATTCAGAACAGAGGTGGAGGCATTTACTTTAAATAAGGGAGGATGTCTGAGGTAGGACTCACCTTGAATTTGATATTAAAATTTACTTGATAATTACCTTGATTATACATTGCATACATGTATCAAAGTATCATACTGTGACCTATAAATATATACAAATACTGTGTCAACTAAAAATTATGTTAAAAATTTAAAGTTTATTTGAATGAAAAACTTGGAATCATGAGATATTTTAAAACCAAATTCTTCAAACAGATTTAGAACAGATAACAATCAGTGAAGTCAGGAATTTATTAATAGTATCTGTTATGATTGTCATTGTCATCCATGAAAACATTTCAGAAACAAACATGAGGTTTGCCACCTACTTCCACTAAATGCTCCATTCTTTTGCCATTTTTTATTTTGATGAGCTATTTTTTGTTGGGGGGGGTGCATTTCTGGCTTCATAAGTTTAAATGACATATAACGAAGAAGGAACTAGTCACAAAAACTCACCAGTGAAGTATAATATACAAACGAGACGGGGGTGGGGGGGACAAAATGTGCTCTTAAATTTAAAAGGATTTACAATTCTACTCTACTTAACCACAACCAGATAAATAAAGTTTAAGGAAAATCCCATGGAATTCTGATAAGAGTGCTCATAGTATGAATCAGCTGTGTTAAAGAAATGGGCTTTAAAATATGAATCAACAATTTTAAGATTTGACTTTCAGAGGTAACACCTGCTCTAAACTGATACTCTTGGGGATTATTTGGATCAGAGATGGTTCAGAGTTTAGCCAGATTTTCAAGGACAACTGCAGACATGAACAAATTTCCAGAGCCAGTCCAGTTATGTGTTCTTGGGAGTGATCCAGAAAAGCAAGCCATAACGGGGTGGGCGTTAGAACTGTTCTTCACCAGATGGTTCACTTCCTCCCTTCTACTCCAAGTTGGCTCTCAGCCCGATTCATCCCCTGATAGTGGGAAAAAATTGCCAGACTGCACTGACGCAAGACCCTCTGCACATCCCTGGAGTAGCATGGGTTTCCTGCACCATGGAGATAAGGGGAGTTTTAATTTTATCACAGAAAAACAGCATTACCTGAGCTTCTTGACAGGCTGCTCTTCTTAGCAGGTTATCACTATCAAAGCAAACAAAAGAGAACTAACATTAGTATTAACTTTCATAGGAGATTAAGAGCCACACAAAATTTGTGGGGTTTATTTTTCAAATAAATGCCTCTCTTCCCTATAAATATCCAAGTAAAAGTTTCTAAAAGAGCTGATCCTGATAAGTTATAGGCACATTTGAAAAATACATCTCTATATGAAATTCTGCATTAAGTGCTTCTACTGTGTAGGAAGAATAATACCCTCTCCCCAAAATGTCCATATCCTAATGCCCCAAACTTGAGGGTGTGCTACTTTACATGGCAAAGGGACTTTATACATGTGATTGAATTCAGGACTTTGAGACACTAAGGCTGTTCTGGATTGTTGGAAAGAGCCTTAAAGCACAGCAGCTTTCCCAACTGTGATCAGAGGCAGATGTGACTCCACAAGGATAGTGGATTGCAGGCTTTGAAGAAGGCCAGAATCCCAGGAATGTGGCAGCTTCTAGAGCTGGAAAGACAGGGAAAGGGATTTCCCCTAAGGCCCCCAAAAGGATAGCAATTTTTGCTGACACCTGATTTCAGCCAGTAAGATCCATGTTGACTTCTAATCCAGAAGACATAATAAATTTATGTCAAACCACTAAGTTTGTGGTAATTTATTAGGCAACAATAAAATATATACACATATCCTGATTTTTTTCTTATCTAGTAGAAATTAATCAGGTCATTTGTCAGAAATAAGTTTGATGTTTAGTTGCTTCTGCTACTATTTTACCTAAATTTCCTATTTTTTATATTACTGTCAGACTCTCAATTATATCATAAATAGAAAATTTTGTCAAGAGGCAAAATTCTGGCTTTCAAAAAAGTATTCTGTCAGAATATAATCATCTATTTAACACAAAGGTCTCTAAAATGTGTCCTAAGAGCACTCTGAATGACTCTGATTGCCTACAGGGCCCCAGAATCTTCCCCACATGAGACTGTGTGTTCATGCACATTGCTGACATTGATCACCTGGTTAACAACAGTTAAGGAAATTAATTTGTAAAATTTAAAAGGTAAATAGGGTTGTTTTATTTATATTCACTTTCTAGATTCTTTTTATAACAGTAAGGACTTTGAATTTTGCATTTTCAAAGTAACTTCAAATTTGTTTTTAATATTTAAGGTTGAAGGAAAAGAAATGAATATAAACAACCTGTGGGTTTTTGCCATAGTTCTAGTCAAAGGCTGCTTGATGACTTTTCTTCCACAGCTAGGCTGTAGAATAACCCCTCAAAGTCTCTGAGCAGTCAGCTTCAATAGGAAAACACTATCCAAAGGGAACTATCAACAGTACCAATCTGAAACCTGAGAGTGATATTCCATAGAACCTCAAAAGATAAAAAGCTCAGGGAAACCAATCCCTAGTGAAGTCTGGCCCACAGCTGGCCCTGGCAACCAGGCCCAGACCCCAGCTTCTTGTAAGACTGCCCCACCGCTGCCCAGGAGGCATGACAGCTTTGTCAACTTCTCCTCCTTGCCCACTCAGGACTCCCAAACACACTTTGCTCTGTTCCCTGCATCCCTCCCCATCACATGTTCCCAGTGAATCATTTCAACATCAACAAAAAAACAAAAAACATTCTATAAGATGAGGTAAATTCAGGTACAAATTAGTAAAACATTTAAAAATAATTAACATGCTCATAAGCTTTTATAATTTACTTGGTACTTCACATTTAGAATCTTATATACAATGTGAGATAAAATATTGAACCCACCATAACCTCTGGGTCATAATGTAATATCAGGTTTCCCACAGTAACCTGGGCATGGTTACTAGATCTCCCCTGGACTATGCTAACCCCACACCAGCTCCCACACCATCCTGGGAATGCAGCTTCCAGCCACTCACCCCTATGCTCCCCAACCACTTCCTTTTAATTTTTTTTCTGGCAGGCTGATTTGCTTGTGCCTCCAATCTCCTATGAAATTTGCCTGTGCCTCCAATCTCCTATGAAATTTGCCTGTGGATCCTTCTGCACAAGTCTTCTAGGCCTTTAAAAATTGCAAACCTGTCTCTCCATCCACATCCTTTTCCTCTACTTCTTCCTTACAGGTCCCTTCCCCACTATGGGGATGGATGTCTAAAGGCCACAGACTTCTCTGGTTCACAAGCAGAGAATACTATCCTCGCTGCATTTCAGCCACAGATTCCTGTGTACTTACCTAGCTCCAAAGAAAACTACCAAATGTATACAAGAATAATGGCGTAGCACTTTGGAACATTTCCCCCTGCTAAATTCTTTATTGCTAAAAGGAAAATTTTGATGGCTAACTTATAATTAAATATATGAAAGTCCTCAGGTCTCTTGAGCTTATTAATACTGCCTAATTTATCAGAGTGCTCCTCAAAAATCAGAAGATTTTATGATAGTTAATTCCCTGAATTCATTGTCCCAAATACAATACTCTGTCAATGTCCCCTTGAGAAAGCCAAAACATGCACCAATATAGATACTACAAAAGAAAATCCCATTATAATCATACTTAACTTCAATATCTGAACAGTATTACGAATCTTGATATTTTCTGAATGAGTCTGTTTTTAAAAATCAAACATATTCGTAAAGAAAAAAAGATTTCTTCCATTGAAATGTGGTAGTTGTTAAGTATCTGAGAGGGATAGGTTCTACCCTCCATAGATATCAAAATCCAATACTTTCAATATTTAATATACAAGGTAAATGTTATGTAACTGTATTATTTAGGGAACAATAACAAGAAAAATCTATACATGTTCAGTACAGATGTAATTTTTTCCCTAATAGGGCTAACTATACTTTGATGATCTACAGCAAGCTCTGAAAACTATTTCAAAAAACAAATTCCCAAATTGATTCAGTAATGGCAGCACTGTTAGAATAGAAAATAACTTAAAATTCATAAAGCAATACTGTTTGCCAGTGTTTTAGTTAGCTTTTTGTCACTGTGACTAAAATGCCCAAGAAGAACAACTTAGAGGAGGAAAAGTTTACTGGGGATTACAGTTTCAGAGGTGTCAGTCAACAGATGGCCAGCGTCATTTTTCTAGGCCCAAGCTGAGGCAGCACATCACCGGGGAAGGGCTCAGTGAGGGAAGCTGCTCAGTTCAAGGCAGGTTCAGGAAGCAGAGAGAGAGGAAGCGGGGAGAGGCCACAAGGAAGATGTACCTTTCCAAAGCAGAAGTAGGCTTCCAAGGCACACCTCCAGTGACCCACCTTCTCTAGCCATGCCCCACCTACCTACAGTTACCACCCAGTCCATCCAAGCCTGATTAGTTACAGCTTTCACAATCCAATCATCTCACCTCCAACCATTTCTCCAATAATACAAGAGCTGTTGTGGGACCCTTCATATCCAAACCATAACAGTCAGATAACATGGCAATTGTTTTTATAAATGCTTAATCTTTCTAACAACTTTGCAAGGGTGGAATTACTATGTACTATAGAATTTTCTCATTTTGTAGATAAGAATGATTGAATGATTATCTCCCACAAGTCCACTTGTCCTTGCTTCTACATTTAGCAAAATGCATGTTTTCCTGTTCCTAAAAGACACTATGGACTTTATACCTACAAAGATTTGAACATTTCATCCCTCACTTTAAACAAAAATTCCAAATTCAATGTGACCAATTCCCTCACCTTACCACACACAAACTTGTTTGCCTTATCTTTCTTCTTAGATTATAAACTTCTTGAAGTCATGGATAATTCACCATTTGCTCTTCCCCAGCCCACAGCATAGACTCTTATAGACAGAGAATACTCAATAAATACTTGTTAATAAGTAAGTGGCAAATGTTTGAACAGGAAGGATCAACTATACTCAGATATGCAGACTATGTCCTGGAAGAAAAACTGAAGGTTATACTTAGTATGAGTATCTGGCATTCTTGAACTAGCAGATCAGCTGAGATGGTTCTCCAGTATGAATCAGCTGAGATGGTTCTCCAGTATGAATCCCACCAAAGCACAAAAGAGTCATGGTGTAGAACAGGATGAAAACCCAAAACTGCCATGGGAACTATATAGATCAAGATGATCCCAGAAAGTGTGCATGTCTGTATGTAAAATGTAATGGCACTAGTAACCTCTAAAAAGGCTAAGTGAAGAGTGCCTTTTGGCATTCCAGGAATCACAAAAACTGTTGAACCGAGTCTGATCATCAGAAAATTCCAGATTGCTAATGGGTCAAGAATCTGAACATGAACCAAAGATCCTGTTACCAAACAAATAAAGTAACTGTATGTAAATTCTAAGCCCATGTTCTTTCCAGAATACCAAGCTATCTTCAGGGAACTGAAGTTGAACACAATTTACAAGAGGCACTACAAAACATAGTCATATCAGAAAGGATCCCTGAAGACCTACTCAATATTGAAATGTGAGTTCTTTGACAGAAATCAGAAGCCTCTGGATCAGAAAATGAAAAAATCTGCTGACGTCACTGCCTGAAGCTTTAAAAGAATATGAACATGCCTGCTACTACAAGTAATGGGATGCTCTCAATTTATTCCATGTCATAAATGTTTTATTTATTACCTCAGGACTGCAAAATAAGTTATTTCAATAACAATTTTACACAGAGAGAAAAATCCCATTGATCCATACTGTTTCCCAAAAAGGGTATTTCCCACTACAGTCTAGAGGAACATATAAGTCCTACCACCGGCTTTTCCCTTGATGCATGCAAAGAGTTTTGCTTTGAACAAAACAGATTTCAAGTTTAGATGTCTAGGGGATTTTAGCCCTTGTTCCCTCCTGACCTGCGGGAAAGATGGGGAGAGCACGCCCCATCCAGGACGAGCCAAGAAAGGAGAGGGCCGACTGACCGCCCACATCCCTCGCCAGAGGACAATCAGACATGTCAGGGAGACCAGTCAAAGCAGGAGCTCATTTATTGAGAAAACACACACAGCTAATATAATGTACAGGAGCCAATCAGGATAAAGATCAGCAGGGTGGGGAGAATTCACATGTACACCCATCCTATAG